TGAGGCTTAATTGTTAGAAAATTGAAGTTATTACATCATTTCAATAGCAGTGTATACAATAACTTGGGTTTTGTGATTTATGAAATCACTGTCGAGACTGTGCACTTAATGAAAATAAATCAACTTAAATATAAATGGTTAAATATATCATTATCTAACCCCATCCCATCACCGTAATGTGATAAATATTATTATCATGTATTTCTGATGTACGAGTACCGGACACATAAAACGCATTACAACAATATGTAATATGAATCTGACCACAATACGATCACATCCAAAATTAGAGAGACAACTATGGGTATTGTACTATTGTTACGTGCTATACAAGTCAAATGGGGAATGGGCCACGGGGTAAGGGAATATAATATAATATTTTGTTTGAATAATACAATTTTAATTTTTTCTTTTTACAAACATTTGGTGAGCTGGATAAATGAAAACAAATATATATATATTAAATTTTCAATTTCGTCTGCTTTGAATATTACGTAGTCATTTTAAAAAAGTCGTTCAATTTAGCACACAAGTCCTTATTATATTTATTTTTACTACAATGACATACTGTAGCAGGATGTGTATAATGTATAAAATATATATTTTTATAGTAGAATTTCATTCAATGTAATACATATTTTTTGTATCAAAACAAAAACTTGTTTTTGAAAATATTGTCAGTGTCATAATATTATATTTTACTGTTTATAAAATAATGTTCAGATAGGGATTTCAACTTTGAATTTGAGTAATAAAATATATTATAAATGCGATAGTTGTAATTTTTACATTAAAACTTATAAATAACCTGTCATCATTTCACATCATTAGCACGTAACGATATTTGTAAGTGGATTTCTAAATCACACCAATTAGCATCAATGATCAATCATTTAGGTCGTTAGTCGTTACATTTTGTTAAGGATATAAATTAATAATTATTATATCATATTACTGGTAGGTATACCTTGGTAGGTATACAATGTATACATTATAAAATATAAAATATTGTCGTAGGTATATGGTTTGTTTTAAGAACAAATCAACACATAAACAGATTTAACAGTGACATATTTAACTTCCACGTAATATTATCGTTCCCTGATCATAACCGATGAGTAAACAACAATAATAACACATTATAGTTGCATGTTATATTATATTGTATAAAAAGCAAAAATGCTACAGATCCAACATTATTATCATACCTCGGGCACCCACATATAATGCATTATAATATTATGCTCATACGCGACAATGCACATACGGTTTTATTTTTCATTTGTGTTGTGGAGATAAATCGAAAAATTAACATTTTCACAAAAAGGTTAGGTAAGCATATAGTGCTCCACGAATTTAATTCCACACAACTCCGATCTAAAGCGCCAGACATAAAAAAAAAAAAAAATACGTATAAAGTGACGCCACACAGTGTGAATACGAAACTAAAGCTTAAAAACAACGTGGTGAATGATAAGTCAGGCTGTTTTATTTATGATATTATGGTTGAACAGCGGGAGTCGTCCATTGTCGCTAACGACGACGCTAATTGGTGTAAATTATATATATTACAATATTATTTAGTCGCGGTAGACTCAGTATTTTTTCGTGACCAGTTTGTATAAGTAGGTCTATACAGTGGCGTACACAGCTATTTTCAATGGGGGGGGGGGGCTTACATATAAAAAAATTATATACATTGATGAATCAAAACGATGTACCTATAGTAATTATTTTGTACATAATGAGTAATCGGCTCATTAGCAATGACTTAAGGTGAAATTAAAAATATTTTTACAATTCTCGATTATTATTTAAAAAATATATACCTATTACCTACAGGTAATTATTTAGTATAACTACAAAGTTACACGCGTACATACAATATGTATATAATAATATATTATATACAATTCAATAAAAGATAGGTATAAAGAGAAATTTATTTTTACCATATTAATCATTTTTTTGTACCTAGGTCCTAGGTTGATAATATAATGTATTAAATATTTACCTGGTTCCTCCGAGTTAAGTGTATCACAAATTAGTGAGTTAGAAAAATATTCGTTTATTCTTTTCATTTTTATTGTTTTATAAAATATTTAAACAGTAAGTACAATTTACTAAACGTCCAAAGCGTCAGGAATTTGATTGAAAACTGAGAAATAGATTCTATACTATAGTATTAGCGATACTGCGATAGCTATTAAGGCATATTATATCGGATTACACGATTGTCGACCCTCATGTTTGTGTTTGAACAAATTTCCCAATAATTTCATTAATTTGTAACAAGTTATCAATAATATCTACAATATATTATAACAACAAACTGGGTTGCTTATAAGTTATAATATAATGGAGTATAATTTGGAATATAATATTTTTTTAAATTGTCATCATTTTTATTATACATTTTTACGTTATTACGTAAACTGAAAAAATACTAAAGGGGGGGGGGGGTTTGAACACCCAAAACCCCCCCCCCCCCCCCGTGTGTACGCCACTGGGTCTATATACTGATTTCGACCTAAATAATTGCCTATTGTTGTTTTACATGTTATTATAAGTTGTAAATTTTAATATTCCTGCGGACTGCAAACTCGTGCCAGAACTATTTGTTTTCCGAACTCTGATTTCGCAGGGGCGCTCGGTCGTCTGGAAAACCGATAGCAATTAAATTCAATAGACGATAACCAAACACAAAGGGTGGAAATGGACAGACACTTCTGTAAAATATATCAGCATTTTATTGAGACCATAACTATAATAGCCCTCTCGTCTCCGTTATGAAATTTGATTTTCACGTAAATTAGTTTTCCGAATATTGAGACGAGACGTCTTGACTGTAGCCGGTTACTATGATAGGTACCTACAATGATATAGACAATCGCCCCACAATAACAATAATAATTATTAATTATAAGTATATTACCGGTACCGACAAGTAAGTTTATTGAAAACATAAAGTTTCCTACCATACCTTATCATCGGTGTAATTCCATTAATCCCAAAAATCATAAAGACAAATTAAGTCACATTTGAAGCCAATCGCTTTGCTCACGTAGGTATCTACACTATCTTTTATATCAATTGATTACATACGCAGATATCAAAATCTGAACATTTTAAACACTGCACCTATGGCTGTATTTACATATAAAATACAATATTTATATTTACAAAAATGTTATTTTGTTAAAATGTAGTCGATGATAATAACGCTGCTAAAATTGATGAGGGATAACAAAATGATTACATAGTTAACGTTATTTTATTATTTGTTCAGTTATATCATCTTTTATAAGAAAAAAAAACAACCCCTGTCATTACGCAACTATGTTGTATTATGTACCTCCTATATGGATGTAGTTGAATAATATTGATTGTATAGACAGCAGGACGTATGGTCTAGTACGTCATGCCATAGCTGTCGAAACGATAATAATTATATAAAATTGGTGGACAAATTTCCGCGGCGTCGTTATTTCTTGAAACTATTTTATAATAATATTATAGTGCGGGTTAACTGTTGACAAAATAAAATTGGTGTACCTACTCACACGACACGAAAAAAATGTATACAGATATAGCACTAGCACACGATTGCTATAGAGTTCAAATCGTCATATATAAACTATCCCCACAACGATGCATATAACCTACCTATAACCTTATCCCCAAGGGTGGATCACAGTAGTAAAACTCTATAGTGTTTGGAATCATTCGATCATACGAGAATTGAATAAAAAATAAACACGAAAATATCTTTCTTTGTTTAATTTATTAGTAAACAGTTTACTTTTATCAATTTATTTAGTTGATGAAAGTTCTTAAATTAAATCATAACTTTCATATAAATATGTTCTTTCTGTTGTAATAGATTTAATTTGACGATGCATGTTTAAATGAAAAGATTAATCGAAACCAGTCTAAATCTGAAATACCATATTTTCAATTTCTTTTTTCAGAATCTAATATAAATGAACATTTGTTTATTATACGAGACACATGCACACATCGCTTAATTTTTTTTGCAACACAACACGTACAAACAATTTAATTCCATTTATTTAGGTAAATATATTACATAAAATATGTTTTAGGTACCTCCAAGTGGCTCCAACACATTAAAAACTACCTATATTTATACAATTATTTTTAAATACTAAATTTTTTATGATTACCCAAATGATTTAAGTTCGTAATAAAAATAATAAAATGCTTTATATAATCACACACAATAAAATACATTTTTTTAAATCAAAAATAAAATAAAACATTTTAAATATTGAAAATTGAATTTTTTACTAATTTTATAATTGATCATTGGAAATTGGAATGTCATCAAGCAAAATTATTATTCTCGGCTACAAAGGCTCAATTAAAATGAATGTTTTTAATAAACCGAAAGCCATGAATTCGCAGTTTAATATGCAGATATTTCCATTATTTATACTCGAATTGCTTATTAAAATGTAAAATCTCTTGAATAGTAGCCAATTATAATCCGTCCTTAATATAGGTGCCTAATACGAATATCACATTTTTTATATCTTATAATTTACTATCTTGTGTTACTGTCGGCGATTCCATAGCGTAAGTGTAAATACAAATCATTCGTGGGAAGAAAAATGTATGATAATAATATATTGATAAATAAAGTAGAGTTAATCAAATGTCCTTCAATAAAAGGTGCAGAGGAAAAGGAACGTATACATTGTTATATTATCTAGCCGTTTCACAACAAAACCTCCAATAATACATTATCGATACAATATAATAATATAATATATTATGGGTCCGACGGTTTTCGCTTTACAAGGTTGTATGATTTATCGAAATAACGAACACGACAGTTTATTTATATTGTTGTAATATACAGCTGTGGGTGCAGCCTACAATATAACTTGACAAAGTTATCGCAACAGTGTCGGAGGATAAAAATCCGATCCAGCGCTTTTAATAACCTTGATAATAATATCGTGTTTTGTTTACAGGGAACCTGGATCACTGCTAATCGTGTCCGGCAGTACGAGTGACCGGCATAATCATAAACGAATATTATCACAGGTATAATTGATATTATACGTCATGATAGAATACATTATACTACGAGTAATAATGGCTGCTGCCTACAAGGAAACGACATCGACTCACCAATAATGTTATAATAATTGTCTGATATTTTTGATAGATTTTTGTTTCAATCGCTGTAGTCATTAGTATATTAATGATAATCAATATATTAATTATATGGTTATTTTCATGTAATAATTTGTAGATGTTATACTTGCTACACGACCGTAATATTTTAATAGTATGTACAAAGAGGTAATTGTTTTATACCGACAATACAGAGTGGTCATTATACAGAGTGGTTCACCAAACATACTCATCCCCAATCTTTTCATTTATAATACATTGATTAATTGAGTCTTCTACTTACATTATCGTTGAATGAGACAGAGGATAGTTGTAGAGGACTGTTGTTTGATTAATGGATTACCGTGAGAGTTTAAGTTAGTGCACAACTTAAACTCGATTTTCACTCATGACATCCCTAAGAACTTCTATACATCTCTCGGGTACATAATATGCTGAAGACACACCTCTCACGAAAACCACGTAACAGCCGGTGATATGATTCAAAACCATTTAAATATGATTAACTTGACGGAAAACGGATTGAATATCAAACTAATTGTCTGTTCTTTGTGAAACATACTAAATGACTTAATAGTCCTTAGTATAGGTATACCTATTTTAATAACTCATAAACAACTCTTCAAATCTATATTAAGATACATTCAAATTTAAAAATAAAAAAAATATGATTACCAATGTACTTACAATTAAATGGGGTAGTTTTTATTAAAAAAAAAAATCGACATAAGATTCTCCTTAAAAATTTAAAAAATCTAAATTTAAATTAATACATTATTAAATGATAAAATCTGGTGAACACGCTAGATGAATCATTCTGTATAGTAGCATAAATAATTGCAAAACCTGTAAAAACACGCACACATACACACGTGGACCCAAGAATTATTTTTTTATTATAGTTATTAATAAAACGATTTCCATAAAATTGTCGATTTAATCGAATTAAGCTAAACTAAAACTGATGGTAAATATCGTGTACCTAGCTATTATGATACTCATAATACATTATATTACACTATTACGTTTAAATATTTAATTTTATAGTATAGGTAGTAATTTAACGATCTATTTTTTTTCCGCATAATTAAAGTAAAATAAATTATTTAGCCACATTCCAATGAAAAACTATATTAATATTATATTATGAACGATTTAACATAATATAAAATGGATTTTTTTTTTCGACTGTGATACTACAATACACGCGATGTTGCACTTATAGATATGTGCGATGGTCGCTCAGAGTTTATTGATGTTGGATTTGGGAATGATGATAGTCGTTCCAACAATTGTCATCGGCGCCCTCCACAACGCAAAAGAGGGCCTTTCGCTGGACGATTCTCAGTCCTCGTGGATTGGTAAATTTACAATATTACGTTTAATTAAATCGATATTCGTACGGCTTTTTTTTTGATTTGAGTGTTTTTTTTTTTTTTTAAGTTTGCATGACCTACAGAATATTTTATTTAAAAATGTTATAGATTATATTATATAAATATTATAGTACATTATAGACCATATAATTATGTATTCTACGCCTTATAATATCAACAACAATTTAGCGTATTTGTACCACTTTGGAAATTCCTGCTGGATGAATTGGTGTTCATGTAAAATATTATTCAGTTATATAAAGTTAATAAGTTAATAATACTTGTATGTGTCTAGATAATATGATGTATGCTTACGTTTATTTTACATTGGTTACATTATTGTATTACTTTTATTATTAGGTATTAGAAATATGGCATATTTTACATTTTTTTTTACAAATACAGGGTGATTTTTTTATCGAAGAACACTCATTATTTCAAAAAGTATTAATGTTTAAGAAAATATTTTTTTACATAGTTTCAAGTTGTTAAAAAACAATATTTTTATTAAAAAATTATATTTTTAAATATTTTTTATCCTTTTAATTTTTTAAGTTTTTTACTTTTTTGAATGACAACATCTAATTTTAATTTGATATTCAAAAACAGAATATTTTTCTGAGTATTTCGATACATAAAAATTGAATTTAGGGCAATTAGTTTATGAGTTATAAGTATTTAAAGTTTAGATGAGCGGAGTAGAGTGGTACGGGGTTACCCCGCGAAATGTTTGTCCTCTACTCCGCTCATCTAAACTTTAAATACTTATAACTCATAAACTACTTGCCCTAAATTCAATTTTTATGTATTAAAATAATCAGAAAAATATTCTGTTTTTGAATATCAAATTAAAATTAGATGTTGTCATTCAAAAAAGTAAAAAACTTAAAAAATTAAAAGGATAAAAAATATTTAAAAATATAATTTTTTAATAAAAATATTGTTTTTTAACAACTTGAAACTATGTAAAAAAATATTTTCTTAAACATTAATACTTTTTGAAATAATGAGTGTTCTTCGATAAAAAAATCACCCTGTATATTCCTGAAAAAAAAAAAACAAATCTTATCACAGGCAACGCTAGGTGGGACAGCTAGTTTATTAAAATGTAAAAATAGATGCTGGTTTATCCGAAGTTAATAGACTCGAAAACTACTGGTCCGCTTTCAATAAAAGTTATATCAATAGATTCCTTGAGATTTAGAGAGTGATAATAGCTTACTTTTACAACCACTTTAGGTGCTCACACATGGTTTATTTTTTTCATTTGAGTGGTTTTAACTGGCTTTGTCTCCTTCAGCACTAACCTACATTTTTGTGTAGGTTAATAATAATTAGTAGAAATATGGCATATGCGTTTTTTCACAAATATTTTTTTTTTTTTTATATAAACCAAGTCTTTGACACATGAAACTCCGGATGGGACATCTAGTACCCATTATATTATAAAATAACTTAAATTTATTTTAACATGCATAAAACAATGTCTGGGACACTGCTGCAGCTAGCATAATTTTGATGTGCCAACCACTGGGCTGCGTTCTGTCGGGGTGCGTGCAGAGCGTATTCGGCCGGAAGCGGTGCTTGCTGCTGGTGAACGTGCCTCACTTGGCAGCCTGGTACCTACTGTACTCTGCCGAGTCCCCATGGGTGCTGTACACGGCCTCGGCCACCATGGGCATAAGCATTGGGTTCCTGGAGGGGCCCACGATGGCGTACATCGGCGAGATCAGCGAACCGAACGTCCGGGGTATACTGTCCACGTTCTCCAGCTCCATGATCGTCATGGGACACCTGCTGGAGTTTGTGCTCGGGTGGATATTTCCGTGGAGGACGACAATGCTCGTCAGCTGCCTGGTGCCCGTGCTCGCCGCCGCGGCCATATCGCTGGTACGTCAGTTAGTTATTTTTATATTTTTTTTTTAATAATCTTAAGAGGACGTTACACAGACATTTTTTGTCTCCGTCTTACAAGTACGTAACATAGAAAATGTTACGGTCAGCAGATCACGTTTGACTCTGTTAGTTTAAAAATTCGAGTGAATTTTCCTATAGTTAAATTTAAACATGAGATTATTATCTAGAGCATATTATAGGCTTTATGTCATATTTCAATTTTAAAGCGAGTTCTGAGTATTTTAAGATATACAAACAATTTACAGTTTTAAAATAGTTAGATATCGCTTTAAAATTGAAATATAAATCTTTACTTTAAATTTTACAAGAGGTAAATTCACTCTAATTTTTAAGCTAACAGAGTTAAAATTGATCTGTGGAGCGCAAAATTTGTTACGCACTAAGACGGAGACAACAAGTGTCGGTGTAACGTCCTCTTAATAAAACAAATACTTCAACAATTGGGGAATACATAGTGCATAACCAACAAAAACTTTAAAGTTATATTTTTTTGAGTAACTCGATGAGGTAACATAACATTTTTTAGGGTTTGTGATAACATTTTTTTTCTCATACGTATTATATTTTGGTATCAAAACTATCGGTTTAAAAAATAAACCATATATGAGGTGGATGAAAGTTGTTATTAAAATATTATAAAAAATAATATTATACTAAACAACATTATTTTCAAACTATTCTCCTGCAAAATAATATTTTTTTAGTTGTGTTACTAACAATTCCTACCAATCTTTGTGGGGCATATCGGTTATACGTGCACTATATAACCATTTTTGTTCAAAGAAATAGTGTTGATATTTATATAATTATATTAATAATAATTCTGCATGTTTAAAATGCCATTATTGGTCTTGCAACAACGAAGATACTTATACATTTTTTTATAAGTCACACTGAAATCGGTGTTCATAATATAATCAGAGTTCGTATTTTGGACTTAGGTAAAAATCTTTGGTGTAGATTTTATCTCTAAATTTGACATAATATTGTTTCTGAAACTGTTATAATATTATAATACTCAGGTTATAGATTATATAATTATGATAAAACATGTCATCGTCATCGTAATTTCGATTAATGAGTTATTAAACGCAAGTAATTATTTACTCAAAAAATCAACTCTGACAGTTTGTTTAATTTTCTGATTCCAATATCAAGACAATATAATCTATAGTCGACTGTCTGTCTGATTTATATACCACGACATAGACATTTAAAATAGATGATCTTCATTGTTCATTTCGCTAAGCTTATTGTTGTAGTACAAACAATGACTATACGAAGAATGGCTCTTTACCACCGATATTGATAAGGTTTATACCTCTTTAGTTAGTTACTTCCATTTTATGGTTCTCAAATCATTTTTGTTGAATATAAGAGTCTTTCTCTGTCGATCATCACTGAATGGAGGGTTTATTAAAATTAAAATTACAATTTATAGGTATTTCATAATCTTCTTGATCACATCGCATTAAATACTAAAACTTACGTGTAACCGACAAAACTATAGTTTTTAATATTAAAATTAATAATAATGATCTTTTTTTATACACAGAAAAAAAACATCATTGTAAAATCAATACATTCATCGCTCCGCTCAGAACCTAAAATAGCATTGTTATTGATCAATTAACACTATTGGGGTAATTTTAATTCCGATCTTAACCATTAAATAAACTCCTGTTACACAGATCCCCGAATCACCCGTCTGGTTGTTGACGAAGGGGAGGAGAGACGAGGCGCTGTCGTCGCTGAGATGGCTCCGGGGGTGGGCTTCTGCCGAAGAGGTGAGTGAAGAATTTCACAATCTCGAACTGTACTGTCAGGAATCCAAAAACGAATTCAACAGTTTGTTGGAAGCCAAAATCAGAAAATCGTCCGGATACACGGGCGTACCAGGTTTGAATAGATTCGCGATTTTCTTCCTCTCGGGAGTGGGAAAATCAAGAACTGCAACGTGGTTGCGATAAGTCATGTTTTTCTGTTTTTGTTTCCTATACAGACAGTGAATTCGCCACGAAGAGCGAACCCAGCGCCGTCGACATCGTCAGAGACTTTTTGCGTCCCGGAATCTTAATACCACTACGACTGGTCGTGGTCTACTTCTTCTTTTTCCACGCCGCATCGCTGACGGCCATGCGACCGTACATGATTGAAGTCTTCTCCCGGCTGCAAGTGCCCGTGTCACCGAGCGTACTCACCGTAAGCTTCTTTTTTTAAAAATAAAAAAAGTATATTGCATACCTGCAGTTCTATGCATGATAATCTATTGCTTAATATTTGACGGACTGCAGACGACAGGACACAGGTTTCGGAAGATTTTTAGGGAGCAGAAGCGCAACTACGATCTAAATTCTGAAAGAATGGAGTTGGGGTGGCAGTCCTCCTGACTTAAATTATTGTAATCTGATACCGACAAATAGGCAGAGGATATTTAGTCATCTCTAGGCATTTCAACGGGATAAAAAAGCACCAACCAATATTACCGATTTAAAATCGTTCACATAATAATATGCTATAAATGAGTACAAAATATATTATGATAAATAAATGTGCAAACTGCAAATGTACGTCATATAACACAAATATAGTATGTGTTTTTTTTTTCATATTATATCAATTTTCAAAACTATTACACTGTATGTTTACTATTATACTACCATATTATCAGTGGTTGAATTGGGGGGGGGGGACGCGGGGGGACGGAGTCCAACTTCTATTTTTAAAATATTTTAGCGTACCCCTTCTAATTTCAAGAATTGATAAGACATTTAAATGTTGGGGGGACGCACAAATGTTTTGTACTTTTGCATACCCCTTCTATTTTTTTTCCAATTCAAGCACTGCATATTATAGTCTAACCTAAAATCTAAAATCAATAGATATCGATGAGTAACTAAGAATAAACTAATAAACAATCGATTTTGCCCCATCGGTATTGCCCCGAAGCGTATTATTTACAAAACTGTTGATTACTTACACAATATTAAAGATAAAAATAGGTTAGTGAGTTCTAAACAATCTTTACAAGTTGTAGACTCATTCTAAACATGTACGATAGTTTTATCATAATTAAATCTGAAATTTAAAATATCTAAATATAATAATTATTACTTCCAATATTTCGAATAACAATTCAAGCCATAACGGTACAGCTGATGTTAATAGTGATAACAACATGTTTCATGATAAGGAATGAAATAAATTTAAAACTGATAATTTTTATCCATAGAATAATGAGAAATAAGCAATATCGGTTTTGCCCCAGTATCGGTTTTACCCCGTGTTCCCCTATTTCTTTATTTTTTTTAAATTTTTAAAAATGTCCATTCTAATACCGATAATATAGGTTTAGGTATAATCAATCATTTTCATTGTCGTTAGCTTAATATCTGATTATTTATGAATTATTACAATTTCAGGTCATGTCCGCGGCGTTACAGGGCGCGGGAGCATTGATATGCATTTGTCTGGTGCGGCTGGTCGGAAAAAGAGCTCTATCACTGGTCTCCATGTCGGGTTGTGCGCTGTGCTGCCTGTCGTTAGGAGCCTACACATACTTCATAACACAGCAACAGTGGTCACCCGTACCGACGATACCACTGTTGCTGTTTTGCACGCTGTACTTCACCATGAACTTGGGCATCAGTCCCATACCATGGTTACTGATCAGCGAAGTATTTCCGAACAGGTGCGTCAAAATTGTTTTTTTCTTCGATTTTTCCGCTCGGACTTTTGTTTTAATAAGAAGCCGTTTAAAATGTTGCCCTTTTGTTATGCTGTTACAGAGGACGAGGAGAGGCCAGCGGAGCGTGCGCGGCGATCTTTTACATCATCGCTTTCCTGGTGTCGAAAACCTGGCTGAATCTTCAAAATTCGGTGGAACTCTATGGATGCTTTGTCCTGTACGGGATCCTTGCCGCTATCGGTATTATATTCGTATACAAATGTTTGCCGGAGACTGAAGGCAAAACACTGGCCGAGATCGAAAAGAATTTCGCTAAGAAAAACGTCAAATAAGTTCAAATATCAAACACAACGTAATAATAGAATAACACATTATCGTGTGTTGAATTCAAGTGTGTATAAGCTACAGAAGAGGGCTAGTGACAAGTGTTCTGTAAATATATTTTAAACCACCTCTATCAATATAAGTATAATTATATAAAAATATGTATTACCATCCATGACAAATTTAGTTTATAAAATATTAAAATGTAATATAATATTGTAAAATATCATGTTATCATGTTCATAATGTTATTATTTATAAGAGTAATATTATTACAGAATTTTTATACGACGATATTTTCATAATATTAAAATTAAATATATTATTATAATAAAAATTAATATATTTTAATGTTGAATTATTTTTTTCTTGTACCTAAAATGTTATATTCTAACACATTTCGTCAATTATAGTCACATTATCAAATTAAACATATTTAAATTAACATAAATGCATTCAATAAGTATAATAAATAATAGTTGGGGGACGGAGTGGACGAGCGAACTAAGGCGTTGGTTGCAACGCGCACTGACGCCGGTTTGATCCCGGCCATGGGTGGCATTTTTCGTCGGGCCGTCACGGTGTCCAGAAAGAGAGGTCACCATCTCCCATCTGGGCATGGCAGATACCTACGGGTGCCCACTAGAAAATTCTGCCAAACACAAAACAGTGTTCCTTCAACCGTTCCCCATCGTACCAAAAACCCTACAGTACCATCCCACAGCTAATGGCATCAATTGCTGGGCTTAAGACCCATGAAAAAAAAAAATAAATAAATATTTATTCACCATCTTATATTTTATCATTAAAATTATGTGCATAATACTCTAAATAAAAATATCTCTAAGGTAATACACAAAAATATACTATGTGTATTTTAACACTAAAGTCCGAAATTGGATAATGTGCACATTATCCGGATAATGTAGACATTAGCCAATTTCGAACTTTAGCCGTGAATAAAAACTATTGGGAAATGGATTATGTGTACATTACCCTGCTAAAGTAACTTTAGCCTTCTCATTATGGCCAATGTCAAATATTATTAATACATTCATAATATATATTTATTTCAATAAAATTAATTAATATACTAAGTTAACAATTAAATATTTTATGCTATCTATATTAAATTTATTTTTATTAAATATAAAATATTATATATTTTAATATATTTTATTAACTCTATTTATTAGATAAAATTTGTTTTGTTATTTATTTAAACAAGGTAAACTTTGATGACATTTAGAATTACATAAAATTCCTGATGCTTTGCATTTGCACTTATTTGTTTTGCAATTAGATTTACATGTACAACGTTGATAGCCCTGACCATCCAACGATGACATATTTTTAGCGATTTCTCGTAAAGATTTTTTCATATTTGACACCTCGTCTACTTACCTCGAATTTAATATTGGGAAATAAATATCAAACGATTACGATAAATGCTGCCAGATAAGTGGATAGTGAGAGTGCTATGGTGTACCTATATAATATTGTGACTATTATTTATTATTGTTATAGTAAGTTAAGAGCCAAGATAAGATCTTTATACGGTTTTCACGACATAAAAACAGCACCACAAGTTCACCGTTAAACATGTAAGATAATACCAGATTTTGTTTATTTTGTCTAACCAGTTACTTCATCCATCCATCAATGACTAATGTACGAAACAATGATTTTACATTTTGAGTGTTAACTTTATCCAACTAGTATGGATAATTTGATCATTAGCTGGATAATGTGCACTTTAGCCACGTTTTGGAATTTAGCCGTTATATATATATATATATATATAATATATATATATATATACGTAATACAAATTATGGTCATGTATTAAAACAATAGTCGGCCTTAAATTGCCTATCCAACGCGCCGTCCTACAATAATTGTGGTTTTTTATTCAATCAAAATATTGTTTGGATTATATAGGTACTTTTATTTGTCAAGTTTGACATACCAAATAAATAAAATGAAGATTAACAACTGGTTTAGATTAATACATTTTTGGAACTTAACGAATTCAATTTTTTTTTAAATATTTAAACAACTATATAATTTTCAATTTTCAATTTAAATTAATTTAAGATGATAATAATATAATATGATTTTTTATTTTAATAAAATGTTTCAGTTATATTTTATATTTTTTATGAATTAACTGAATGCATTTGGTCGCTAGTGATACATTTTTCAACAGCAGCGTACTGTATAATATTATGTTATCCAGTAAAAAAACCGAAGTGTTTTCATTTTGCAAAATGTTATAGCATAAATTATAATATTGCATAATATAATTTGTTTGCTATGACTGGAAAAATGTATGAATAGATGCACTGCTTTTAGCTTTTGTCACATCAATACTTAAAATTGTATAATATATTATAATGCTGTTGACATGGAATTTCTATCATTTTTCCCATATAGTGTGAGCATAATATCATATTACTATATTACGAAATCTAATGTTTTAAGAAATGTGTCATCGTGTATCATTTTTTTTAAATTTTATTTTCAACAAAAAATTAAATAATAATAATAATAATAATATATAATCTGTACATAATATTATATATACAACATTTATAAAAATATAATAATAAAATAATGAGCAGTTTAATCACAGCGCCAACGGACACTTGCAGACCTTAATATTAGAATTGTTCGTTTGCGTCTTATTCGGATCATCTTCATTGCAACACCGATGATGCCTCTGGCAATTGCTGTTATTGTTAGGTCTTTCAATCGAACGCAACGAGTCTTCGAAATTGTCGCTAGACCTGTTGAATATAATATATAATGGTACCGTGAAATAATCATCTCTATAGCACATATAGGCTCGTATTGGTGCCACACTGCCACCTAATATAGTACCATTGTAATACCTACCTAATGTGTGATATTATGATATTGGACTGGCTATACTTACTTCATGACAAAGGACTCGGTTAAACTGGCGGTGCCAGTGCTCCCGGTAGCGCTGCTACACGAACAACAATCGTTTTGCAGATTGTCGTGGTGATCGCTCCTGGTCCCGCACTGGGGCCGCAAATGGGTGATGGGTGGTTCGACGGGTATGATAGACCTCGACTGATTGCATCGAAGACCCCTCCGCAGGTGCTTAGGGTTGGTCACGGCCCCTCCGTACAAAAGCGAACCCTCCATGAACGACGTGGGGTTCTGTAGCGATCTGGGTTCGCAGGTCGACAGCCTCGCCAGACTGCCGTTGCTCAATGTGAACGGAGACCTCTCGTGGAAACCGAAATTCCCGTAGGAAGTAATCGTTTTGTTTTTCTCCCTGCAAGTGTATTAACAGTATTAATAATAATGTAAAAGTCGTGTTCAATAAACGTTAAAACGTCTCAACAGTGTATTTATTTCATACTCATTATTCGTATGTTATTATACCTTTTACGTCCCGTGCACACGCACGTCACGCCGGTTATGGCTCCCATGAAAATAATAAATCCGAACAAAACCGTTAGCAGTTCAAACGTAGTATAAAGGCTTAATGAGTTTTCCACCACTACGTCGTTGTGGCTTTTCGGTATGCGAGAAAATCCGATGAATTGCAGCGGCTTTAGTTCGTGATTGATTTCATCTTGGTGATCCAACATCAAACTTAAATTAATAAACACAGTTAAACACTATAGTAAGCGCGTGACGGTATTTTGAAATATAAAATAATATTATAAAATGTGCTTACTTCATTAATAAATCACTATCTGCCAATGCGTTTGTAATAGGATCCACGGCATACAATTGAATGTCAGTCCTAAAATATTGGTATTTGCGATTTCGTAAATAATTAAGTACAATAATTACTCGATAAGTACTTTAGAAAATACATGCATAGACTTTTTACTAGTTCAGATCTGTTAAAATTAGAGTCCTCTCGGTTAATAAAACAATACATAATATTTAGAATATAATATTATTTGTTTAATACAATTTATACTACGCATGTAGAGTTCATTGTTCGATGGTAAAATTATATTTTATTGAAACTCAATACCTGTTTAAAATTAGCATTTTTAACGATTTAAATGAACGAAAATTGCATTATATATTATTACTTAACATTAGGTAGAAAATATTTTAAAATATTTAATTTAGCCGATAATCTATTAAGCTTATAGCTAGTTTTTTAAAACTTACATGTTATTTGTATTCGAATCTATTCTCCATATCTTAACCATACATCCGGTGATATTAGTCATTGAACTCGTTATGACATCTGTGTTCTTCTCAACGACTGACGGTTGTTTTCCCAAAGCCAATGTTATTATTTTCTGATCGTCCAAAATGTAAACCTTTGTCGTTCAAAAACATATGTAAGTTATTCAAAGTGTTTATAATTGATAACTTTATGAAAATGTACAACTAACAAAGACATTTGTAATCGCCGATCTCCCGTTGGGAGCGCCGGCTTTGTCGGTCGCTCGAATGTCAAATCCAAAAACGGTATTGTTCAGAAGTTGATTGAATCCTCCGACCGTTCGTATTAGACCCGTGTGTTCGTCAACATTGAAGTATCTTTTTTCGACGGGATCTCCGACTATTGTATACCTAATGGCAGAGTTGATGTCCAGATCTGGGTCTATCGCCTGAAATCATATACGCGTGCGTTCAGTCGGGTTCAAAAATAATATTTAATTAATATTTAATTAATATTTACAGTTTAACAGTAAATACACTAAACTCACTTGAACGGTTGCTACCGGAGTTCCATAACCTGTCAACGGAGACACAGCAGCGATAACTGGCATACTTTCGTTCGTGAAAACCGGAGTGTTATCGTTTTGATCGATTATTCGGAGTACGATTCGGGCTTCGTTAAGAGCTATAAACCATTAAAACGCCATTGTGTTTTGTAATTTAATTACAAGTGCAATAATTACAATATGCTAAAATCTCGTACCTATGTCGTGTGCGACCGGATGCACCGTATAAGTGGACTTTCCTTTCCTTCCTGTAACTTCAACGCGAACCATTACCGTGAGAGTCGGAGTAGACTCTCGGTCAGGACTTTCGATAAGATAAACGTTGCCATTTTTTGAATCAATCCTGATGAAAAAAATGTAATTTTATATTTAATGTAACGATAATAATAATAAATTGACAAGCAAAGCTGACTCACTCAAAACTCTCGCTGTTTTCCGAGGGGATTATTGAATAACTTACGGACGAAGCGGACCGTCTAAACCTTGATGTAACGTTAAGTTTGAGAATTTCTAACGGCACCAAACAATTTTCTTCCACTTCCACTTCGAAATAACGAAGTTCGAGCAACGGTTCTTCGACTCCTGAGTTCTTGTCGGCAACGCTGACGATTAATAAAGCGGCGTTATCTTTCCTAGAGAAACCCGAATCCGATGCGACCACGGTAACATTGTAAATACCACCTTGCAGTGGAATTTTTGATGTAACCACTCCAGTGACTTGATCTATGTCGAAAAACGCTGAACCCGGTCCGAATAGACTGTACGTAACTACAGAATTTCCGTCTTCAGGTCCGTCGGGGTCTTCAGCCACGATTCTCGTGATCATGGTTCCTACCGTACCTGCTTCGGCCAAAGTAGCTTCGTAAACGGGCACTGTGAGCTCTCCTTCAAATCCTTTCAGTCCAATTTCGTCGGCAGACAACTTTCGTACGCGATGATGATTTCGAAACTGTGGCGCGTTGTCGTTTACGTCTAACAGTTTGACGACGATGTCCACCGTCGACGGATTTCCACCAGACTTTCTTTTGCCCGTCAACCGCAGGTCGAACGATTCTCTGGTTTCCCTGTCTAGATCACCGGACACCAACAAACACCCGACGTCAGTCATAACGAACGTGGGATTCCGATAACTTTTTTTTGTTAACGAGTAGACGACCGAAGTTTCCTCTGTAGCGATGCAACCGATTTCGTGATGTTTATACGCACCTTCGGGTACCCAAAATTCATACGATCTAAATATGAAAAAATACGACAAAATAATGATGATGATAATAAGTGATAACAATATTTTACATACAATAATATATACACGGTGATTCACCAGGCACACTTGCCCCAATTTATTCAAATTCTGATTTTTGGAGTTTTTGTAATTGCTACATTATTGTAACTGTAGCAAATGTATAATAAAAAGTAAAATGGGAAAATGAAAATTCCCATCGCCAATAAATAAAAGACCTTATTTTTAAATACACTTGAATTTTTTTGTAAAACTGGAGTGTGCTGTGGCAATACATACTTTTGTTTTTCAAATGAAAACACCCATTTTTACTGCAAATTACTTAGTGGATAATTTTTTTGAAAATGTTGATGTACAATATAAAGGAAACTAGTAAAATTGGATCAAGTATTTATTATACATGGTTCATTTTTACAGATTATTAATATTGATAGATTAATATTAATGATTAAAATTTTCCAATCACCATAGCATCCATATTTTATAAGCCCATTACTATTGACCTTTTATCCTTGGGACATAGAGTTTAATGACTCAAAAACAACTAGTACGAATTTTGATTTTGGAAAGTCAACATTTTCAAAATAAATTATCCACTGTTTAATTTAAAGTTAAAAAGTGGTGTTCTCATTTGAAAAACAGAGGTTTGTAATTCGACAGTACATTCCTTGGGTAGTACAAAAAAATCTCAATAATTTTGAAATATGGCCTTAATTAATGAATTAAATTCCAAAATTCAGATTTTGAATAACTGCATTATTGAAGGGAAAAAAGGAGGGGAGCGTGCTTGGTGAATCATTCTGTATATGATTTCAAAAAAAAAATCTCACAATATTTAGTTGATGTACCCATATTATACAATCATAATATTATTGACACTCACTTTTTATCGAACAAAATGTCTTCTTCGACGAATACAATTATCAATATCCAAGTCATCAGACCGCCCTCGTCTTCTGCGGTGACGTTCAATTCTTGTTCGCCTATTTTCAACTGTCCCACCACGGACAGCTGACCCGAAATCGGATGAATAGCAAACTCCATGCCACTTCTAGCCAGTTTATACGTGATAGTCGATCCGGTGGAATCAGCATCTTCGGCGTTCACTGCCAATATCGGCGTACCCGGTTGTATCGTTTCGGGGAGCCACACGACGGCGGTCGTAGTGGCGTTGTCCAATCGATGTGGTATCGAATAGTCACCCAGTGTGACCGAAATATTCGATTTGGTACTGGCTGCGACTCTTAGTTTGTCTTTGGTGTATACGGTTATGCGTTTGAAAACGGGAACGTTGTCGTTCAGATCGGTTACACGTATGGTAAGATAAGCTTCAGACGACAGATTTCCTCGGTCTGTGGCAACGATCTTAAGGCTATACGTGTCCTTAACTTCTCTATCGATCATAGGCTCCGAAACAATTACGTCTCCGGTTTCTTTATTGATGGTAAACATTTCACTGCCTAAGATTAAAAAGTATAATAAATATTATTTACTATTAAATTATATACTAAAAATTGCACTGGATATGATCATATTTTAATTTGTATCATGTTTATATTACCTAGAAATTTCTAGGAAAAATATACTTCGAAATGTCAAAAAAAATAGTTTGAACGAATTTTTTTTATTTTTTATACGAGTTATAGGGTAAAGTATACAGTTATTGGCACTTTAAGCAAAAATTGAATTTCAAAGTATTTTATCATTAATATATTAGTGATTAATATATTTGTAACCTCCTTGATTATAATCAAAATATTGTAATCTATCATAATTTGTAATCAGATTTTAAATCCATTTAATAGGTATACTAATACGTTTGTAAATATACAATGATATCACTATGTACGATCTATGTGTGCATATAGGCATACTAATGAATATTATTTTTTTATCATTTTTATAATTACATAGGTAATATAAATAATTGTAATATTTTATACATACATTTTTGTAGATTAAATAATATGAGACACATGATAATCAATTTCATATTATAAATTAGTAAAATATCTTTAATTTTTTAATTTTAATAGTCTGTCTAGGAATACGCCAGTAACAAAATCAGTTTAAATTATTAAAATTTACTTATGTTAATATATTTTCTAGAAAAATTATTATCAAATTACACTTTATACACCTTCTTAGTTTTTAAAAAAGCAAATCACGCAAACATAAAAAAAAGATTTACCTTCTCCATTTAGTGTCAATGAAAACATCGCGTTAGATCCCATGTCTCGATCGATTGTTCTAACAGGTGCATTTAATTCTACGAGTGTACCGACGTCACAATTTTCCAACACTGAACCTTCGTAGTGAGTTTTTTGAAATTCGGGTGCATTATCGTTTTCATCGTCGACTATGATACGTATCTGGAAAATTGTCGCATGGTGGATACCAGTTTTTGTTTTCCGATCCGCAATGACCGTCAACTTGAAACTTTCTTTGGTTTCTCTATCCAAGCCAGATTTCGTGTATAAAACGCCATCTTCGGATACGGTAAATAACTCTCCGTCATCCGGGTCAGCAACTATAAAATTAGGCTTAGACATGGTTGATGAGTTCGAGAAATCAACATTCCACAGTCTTCCGATAGCAACACCCGGGAGATTCTCGCGAACTCGAAACACTAGACTTATGGGATCCACGGTTCTATATAAACAATTGCAATTTGTACACATGATTAGGTAACTATATATAACATAATTTATATTTATTTTGTGGATAAAATTAAACGATATACGTTACTTTGTTAATGTTTGACTAGAATCCGAGTAAACAATATGAATAGTGACATTTGTCGAAATAATCAAATTTCGATTATCTGTTGCGACCGCTTCGAATTCATAATCGGTCCGATCGAAATTCGAAATCACCTCAACGACCGATATCGTACCGGTTTTCTCTTCCACGGCAAACGGCACTAAAAGTTTAAGGAGTTGCATAAACACATTGCACATATAAGTGCGGTGATTTTCACTTGAGTACTACACTTACCTCCTTCTTGATAGGTGTGAAGTAAATCGTAATCGATACTAGGGTTTTCTGAAACTATTCGGACTTGGCCTACGCTCGTGCCGACCGGCACATCACTTCCAACCCAAAATTCGTACGGAGCGTTTACAAAATCAGGATTGATCACTTCTGTACGTCATAAAATATTTATTTTATATAAAAAAAAAAAAATGCCAATTTCTTTGTGAAAAGGTTACCTTCTGTAACAATCGTGATTGTGACGACAGCCAAAGAATATTTCATTTCTTTTGGATCGATTGGTTGGTCAGATGCGTTAACGATTATCGTATATTTGCCCGGATTTATCGGTGTTTCATTCGCAAACACTTCACCCGTGTCAGGATTGATTGCGAAAAGTTCCGATTCGTTGTTTGGCGAATACGATATCCTGTAAACCACACGTCCGTTATCTCCATCGTCTGGGTCTATAGCTTCAACCTAAGTTAAAAAAAATACAATGGCATTATTTATTTATTCTCATAAAATATTCAATATATTATAATATAACAAACATTCTTTTGAAAATATTTTGAGACTAGGGTAGGTACTAAAATAAACATTTGAGCATATAATAACTTATGGACGACCACAATGATAGTATATGGTATGGTATATAATATTATATTGTAATATACATTTCCCACCAAACAATGTTGAAACAATCAGAAGTAAGAGACTACAATGGACAGGACACGGTTGGAGAAACCAATACCCATTACTCCGTACAGTACCAGGCGCCAAGGGAGGTGACGAAAGAGCATTCGCCCGCCATAACAAATTTTAATTTGTACAAATAATTATTATCATTTTCAACAAAATAATAATGATCAAAGGTTTAATTTTCCGTTATGAGCTATAAGTCTAGCTGATAGTCTAGTATAAATAGTATAGATCATCATTGTAGAAAAAATTAAGTCAGTAAAATGTACTTAAGTTCACCAAAACTTTTGAAAAATACGCCTAGAGTAATTATTGATTTAAAAAATATGTTCACCCCACCCCTTTGAAAGCTGTCTTGGGGCACCCCTGTACAGTAACCACTTGAGAAAGACCCAACAGGAAAAAGACTCATTGGTAAATCGAGAATGAGGTGAGAAGATTTAGTGAAGAACGATGTGGATGATCTAGGAGGAGGAAAGATTGGATGCTCGAGTAACTGACATTTACTGATAGAAGGCTGGACGTATGTCGGATATGGTCCTAGAGGCCGCTAATACCTCCTCCCCCCCCCAAAAAAAAATATATATATATAAAATATGTATACCTTTCCAATTGTTGCTCCAATTGGGTTGTCGACTCTTGTCTTGAAAGAGTACTGGTTGTTTGGCACAAACGTCGGGCTGTTGTCGTTGACATCGAGCAAGGTTATTTCAACGCTGACGAACGCGTCTCTAAAAACACGAGTATGCACACGTAAATATTATATTATTTACTAACCATACTGTCTACTATATACGACATGAAAGGTCGGTTTGCAATATTAGTTTCTATGAATACTTACCCAGTTTCCTTTTGTTGCATTACGAACGGTATTTTTTCCCGGGCGTATACTCGCAGAGAGAAGCTAGACTTCTGTTCTCTATCCAACTTCGTGTGGTTTCGCACCGTTATCCAACCGGTCTTGCCGTCAATGGTGAACGCCTGGCTGGGGTCCACTAGATGATAGACAAATTCGCCATTGTCCCCTTGGTCCAGATCTGTCGCAACCACCCTCAGCACGTTATAGCCGTTTGGGATGTTTTCGTATACGCTGACGTTGTACGAATCGACTTCAAACTTTGGCTGGTTATCGTTCACGTCGATCGCTTCGATTTCCACTTCAGCCAGTGCAGTTTTAGAAGGGTTGTTCATGTCGGTCGCTTGGATCTATACACGTGTTCAAACCAGATGATGTTACCAAAGTGACAGTTAATAAAAATGAAATATTACAAAACCATCAGGTAAGTACTAATATTGTTTTGCTTACTATTATTGAGTATCGTACGTCAGTTATATTATGTAAGCGAAACTAAAAAATTAATACAAAAAAAAACTACAAATTTACTTTGAGCAAAAATATATTTGATGGGAGCAAGTCTGCGTCAATCTCCTTGTCCAGGAATACCCTGCCAGACAAATGGTCTATGTGAAATACGTCGTCATCGAAGTCCGGCGACGTCAAAGAATACCGGATCGAAGCATTGAGAGCGTTATTATCGTAAAATGCATGAATCGGTGGGTTGAAAGGGATTTCTTGGAGTATTCGTTTGCCCTGTGTGTTAACGGTTTTGTTTTGTAAAAAAATTAATTTCAAAAACAACGAACAAATGTTATAATAAGCTTGAAAAATATTCCACGATCACTCACCGTTATTGGAAAGTGCTCCTTGAATTGACTGTGATACACGTCACTCGTAAATTTCAGCACTCTGGATTCATCACGTTTTACTCTTACGTCGACTACCGTACTGGCATTCCTGGACGGAGATCCCTCGTCTTTGGCGTACACTTCCAACAAGAATCGTTCGTCTCCGCCGTCGAAGTTGAGCGACTCTTTTAGTACCACCGCCGCGGAACCATTGGCGTCCATTACCAATGAAAACTTGGCTTGAGACTTTGAAGCAGCGATTAGATATCGTACTTCCGAGTTCGGTGTGGACGGCTTGTCTGCGTCTAATGCCTTTATTCCCCGTACAACGGTTGTTCCTGCGGTAAAGTATGAACACTTAGTGCTTGCTTGTTTATAATGACATTATCTCATACTACCCTAAATTATTATAAATTTTTTTTAACATTATTTTTAACACATAGTTACCGATAGGTGTGGATTCGGAAATTTCGGCACCGTAAGGAGCATTCACGAAGTAGGGACTGTTGTCGTTGACATCATCCACGAACGTAGTAATAACAACTGATGAGCTGACCTGCAGTCAAACCATTTGTAGTTAATATTGTGTTTAATAATAAAATGTTGAATTTTCTTCAACTTATATATTATCGAATGTTGAATTAAAAATTAAAAAATATAGAAATGTTTTCATAAATCGTAAAAATAATCTTCCACGTATTACAATACGTAAGAGAATAATAATTACCGAAACATCTTCAACTCCACACACTAATTTGACTTTAAGTAGTTCGATGGGATTTGGCCGGTCGACTAGATCATCTAGTGATCTAGCTAATCTTAACGAAATCGTTGTCCGATTGATTGTACGGAATTTAAAATATGCCACATCATCGTGCTGTTGAATAAATATTCAATATAAATAATAATTTTAGTTTGAATTTGTATTTCCGAGATAACTGTATGCAATGCTTACACTATCAATTGGTTGCAAACTGAGGTTTCTCCTTGGATGCACTTCGATCTGCATCACCTCAGAACCAACTGGTGTGGTTTCCGATAACCTGATAAATCTGAAGTGATTGTCGATGGGATAAAATTGGCAACCTATTATGACATAATAAATAATTTGTTTAGTATAAAATATTTTTTGTTTAAAGGTTTACAATTTTAAACACATTTACACAAGCAGAATAAATATTCTGGATTATTGGGTTATTCCGATATTAAGTATATTATGTATCTCATTTTTAATATTTTACTGTTTCAATTTTACCAATAAATTATTTGAATTTACTTATAAATGTTATATTTTATCGTATAATGATTTTAAATAGATAAAAATGTGAAATTACGAATAATAACAATGTAAGTAATATATTTAAATATAACTAAAATACATAATATATTTTCATATACAGTCGGTATAATACAAGCATACATTTTAAGTAAAAAATGCTCAATAATTATACACAACACATAAGATTAATACAAATTAAAACTGCTCCGATATCTCCGAATTTTATTGATTCTTATCTAATAAAAAATTATGAGTGTTCAAATTTGAACGAATATTGATCAATTGAAAATAAAATCATCCGATACTAAGACATACAATTAAATATAACTATAGTGTAATAGTGTAAATAAAGAATAATTATAAATACAAAATATATAAATTAAAATAGTGACCACAGAGAAGTATTCAAAGTTTTATTTCATAGAAGGCTGATAAAAATAATTAATTGTATTAAGTATGTATAGGTACTAAAGTGAAAAAATATAAGAAAGAAGTCATTTAAAAAAAAACATATTATATTGTTAATTATTATACAATATTATCAATATTTAAAAAAAAAAAGTAAAATGGGTGAAAAGGAGTGAAGCAAAAATGTCTTTTATAATATTAAAATTTATTTTTTTACGAATTTTGAATTTTACTAATTATTACCAGATGGTTAAGCTTAATAATATACAGAAATTAACAGCGTCGAGTGAACGATTAAACAATATTACCCTAAAATTATATCACAAAATATTTTTTACACTTTTTAATGGTCTAAATATTGGTCTCACGTTACAAGTTAAATATATTATAGCCGTGTTATGCTTGTTGAATCAGTTGAGTAATATACGTCATAATGTCACAATATTATTTATATACAATTTGATACTTATAGTAGGTAGGTAGTTCATTGCCGAATAAGTAGCTAATATACTATGTAATATGGTAGGTTATGTATCGGGCAAACGTTTGGTCCGCTTTTCTTGCAAAAAATGTATTAATACCAACTCATATATAAATAAAAAATTATTTTTTTTTTTTTTTAAAGATAAGGAACAAATCTACTTTACCAACCCCCTCACGATTTTCAAAATTTTTTTTTTCAAAAGACTTGTTTTTTATGCTTAAAACGATGGTGTAATTTTTTTTTCCCGGAAACTATTATTTTAGAAGTTATAGCCTTCCAAAGTTTGCGATTTGACGTTTATGCGCATGCGCGCAACACTACTATAATGCCACGCGGAGGACTATTTTTGTAATTTTTTTGTACTTACGTATTCTAACCTGTTTAAAACGATGGTACAATAATAATTTATCCCCCGACTTGCTGTGCAACACCTCCCCAAGTGGGTCACAGGGTTGAGAAAATATCATTTTTGTTGCACCGAGACACCAATTTGAAAAAACATCGTACAGTGATGCGGTGCTAGCGGCACTCGTCGCTACGCTCCTCGGCGCCGTCGCTCCGCTCCGCAAATCGAAAATATCCCCCGACTTGCTGTGCAACACCTCCCCAAGTGGGTCACAGGGTTAAGAAAATTGCATTTTTGGTACACCGAGTCACCGAGCGGGGTCACTCGCTATTTATTTATTATTTATTTTAATTGGGCTAATATACCTAGTCTAATTAGGTACTCAACTATAGTTTATATTTCACCATAATAATGACGTGATTCACAATATTATTTACCCAAGACTGACTATGTCCCAAAACTTGTTAAAATACGTAAAAAAAAATTTGTTATAGACGCGCTTGGCAGTCAAGTAGCGTTGCGCGCATGCGCATAAACGTAAAATCGTAAACTTTGGAAGGCTATAACTTCTAAAATAATAGTTTCCGGGAAAAAAAAATTACACCATCGTTTTAAGCATAAAAAAACAAGTCTTTTTCAAAAAAAATTTTTGAAAATCGTGAGGGGGTTGGTAAAGTAGATTTTAGCCAAAGATAATACCTATTTCAAGGAAGATGCAGCCCTCTTACCCATCTATGACCACCGTATATTTGAACAAACAAAAAAAATTTAATCTCAACGAAAATAACATACCAATGTTTAATTTAATGGGTAAATAATCTGACACCGACGTCTGAGAGAAAATTATATGTACCTAGTGTGAGCAGTTGATAAGTTAAAGTCGATGTGACGCGATAGTGAGTGGTTTCGGTCTAAATAAATTTAGGCACGGTAACAGGAGGCAAAAAGCAATTACTGTACAGAACACCTGGAGGAAGGTAATTGCTTAGTCTTACGATTTTAATATATTTATCGACAGGCGTCGTATTTTATTTTATATCGTAATTGTTGAGTCATTACATATTATATAATACCTACCAACCTATATGGCGCAAACAATAATCAACAGAATAAACTAAGTAAACCCTACATCACATCCACATATGTGTAATAAATAATAACATAGTGTAGCAATCGATTAATGACGCCGATCGGAAGGTTCATGTTGAAAAGTGTGATAATTCAATTATGATTAAAAACCAATCGTTTCTTTTGTATTATATCGGTGTCAATAAGAATATTTGTAATATATATTTTCATAATTTTCATTTGATTATGTGTATTGATATTACTTCTCATTATTTATATAGGTATGTATAGACATAATAGATATTGTTATTGTCATACATTAATGTACAATAAGTGTCAATATTTAATAATGAATAAGTTTTATTAAATAATCATATTTCACAAGCAATCAAAATACAGACTCTATGAAATGTAATTAAATGTATTTTTTGAACTAAGCTTATTTATTTTATACATTGTTATAAAAAGCGATTACTTTGATAAATTTGGATGCAAAGTTATTGAAGAAAATAATAACCATGCTTTCAAATATATAAACAAATAATATGTAAGATGGTGATGTACCTATATCCGATGTAATTACGATCAATAAAAATAAATAAAAATAAAAAAAGTAAAAAAATATGCATCAAAAACAAGATATTATAATATTAAAACAATACATAATAAATACATATTATGTTTTATTGTATTTATGTTGAATGGTAAACTAAAAAAATTGTTTGAATAAGTAGTATTATTTTGGTATCTGAGAGACCTAAACAAAACAAAATAACTACTACCCGAGTCAAAATTATGAAAAGACATTTTGAAATATAGTGCAGGGGACTTAGCATCTCACTTGGGTGAAAAGCCGTTTTGATATTATGTGTTTGAAAAGTGACTCGCAAAAGTAACATGAAATGTAAAAGTTCATTGCCGGATTTACACTGAATATCGGTTAGTTTGCAAAAAGTCGCCATCACACTTCTCACGCACACACACTGGCTAAGAAAAATCTATCTAGTGTGTTTGAAGTGTATGAACATGATGGTTTTTGTAATCGGGCACAGACTGTTGAAGTGCTAGAGGCTAATAAACCATAATTTAAATTTTCATTAAATAGTACAATCACAATTATTAGTGTTTGAGTATATGATATTGGCTGTATATAATGTGCCTGAAATACTCTACTTATATGCGATTGACTCTCATGTTGTGTACTGTCAAACAGTTCACCATCAGATCTGCTCCAGACGATAGTAGCGGCCCTGGCAAGACGACAATTTTGAGCCTCCCCTTGTCCCCAAAAATTTGTTGATTTTTCGCTCCTCAACTCATTCAAAATGTCACGTCACTTGAAAGTGTCACCTTACCCGGTCCTAGTCAAGGCTCTTTTGATCATACTTATCGTATAAATAATGGCTCAATCATCATTGATCATGTGTTGGTTTTTTGGAGAGAAAATAATAATATTAGTCTATTTTATTTTATAATGCGAACAGTATATCGCCTCACATTTTAATAATATTATATTATATTTTAAATACGTAAATAATCGTTTGGCTAATACTCGGTCACATTTTATGACGAATTTATAATAACTATAGGGATACGACGTTATAGAGAAATAATTAATAGCATAGGTATTAATATATTATGCATAAATAGAAGTTTCATAAGCAAAGAAATAGTGTTAACTGTTACGATAATGACAATCAAGTTGAATGCTTCTATTTTCCTATAGGCTATAATATAATATTACAATCTGTATTACTCGACTCCTCCCGGGTTGAAATTAATCTATCTACTTATCTATTGTTTTCCGTTTTGCTTCAGTTGAAATATATAATATAATCCTTTATGGACACAATTACAATGGTTCCTTTCATAATTTGCCAATTATTATTAATGCTGGACATATTTTTGATGTAAACACAAACAAAATAATGGAGATCGATTCAATGAATCATTAAAAACCGACCTTAATCTAATATTGTTCAAATTGGTAGTAGTCATTATGTGTTTATTTGAAAGAAATACCTAAAGAATTATATTCAAATAAAATTTTCAAATTATTTTGTGGTTAAACAACTATGAAATGTTCAATTTTTATAGCTAAGGATTGAACATTTTAAACAAGGTATAGTTCTTACTATAACCAACAAATCTAAAAAATATTTAAATACAGTTTTCTTTTATATACATTTTAAGTTTAAATTTGGACGAAAATACAAATTTTAACCAAGAATAACGGTTTTAGTTATCGTGCTGTAATTTAAAAATATTATTCGTGTGTATATGACACTTTTAGAGTATATTATTATATTTTATACACATAATGACATTTTCAAATGTAATTTTTTTTGTCAAAAATAACATACAATTGTACTAATGTCTTATAGTAAAATAAATTACTTTAAGCACAATAATATCTTCAAATATACTTAGTAATATTATAGGCTGACAGAGCATCTTCACTCTGAATATTTTTTTCTTATACGATGATTTTATATCGTTGA